TTCGTTGATCTATGTACTGTTGATGCAGTTAATGCTCAAACAGATGCTGTATTAAGTGAACGCAAAGAATTTCTTGAAAAGCAATTGCGTTTTACACCTATTCCATATAGTGAAATTTTCATGAAAGACAAATCTATAATATTAATATCTGGAATAGCTGGTATTGGAAAAACATGGTTGCTTAGAAAATGTTTGCTTGATTGGTCAAATGGTCTAATTTGGGAAAATGTTAAACTTGTGTTTTATTTGGAATGTAAAAGGCTTAATCAATATCAAAGTATTTCAAATATTAATGAATTACTAAATGTTTTCTACAAAGACATTGTAAATGATTTCGATATTAGTATTTATTCTGCACTGTTTATAATTGATGGATTAGATGAGTTTAAATATCTAAATGAGTTAATAAATTGCAGTTCGAGTTATAACTATCCAATTGTTAATGTCTTTACAGAAATTCAAAAATATAAATATGTAGTTGCTGGTAGAGTTTATGCAATTGATCAGTTTCAAAGTATATCTACAGAGGATTGTGATAAGATAAACATTCAAATTATGGGATTTAATGAAGATGGAATAAATAATTATATAGAAAATAATGTTTTAGAGGAAAAAAAAGATGTTGTGAAAACAACTTTGAAGGAATCTGCAATTACAAAATCAATGTCATCTGTTCCATTTTATTTATCTTTCATATGTAGGAATATTAGTAATTCAAAAAATTTATACAAAAATTCTTTTTTAACAATGACAGACTTGTATGCAAATATTTTTTTACACTTTTTGCAAAAACACATCATCAAAAACAATGAATCGATTTCTCAATTTATGAAAAACAAATACAATAAAAAATATATTTTAAACATTTGTAAAACTGCATATCAATTGCTTGTTGAAAATAAAGTAATTTTTTCCAAAGAAGACATTCAAACTTTTATCATTGACTTTGATAAAAATGAAGATAATTTTTTAGGATTTATTGAAAGGATTAAAACAAGTCTTGGTGAATATATTTATCAATTTGCACATTTGACAATAATGGAGTTTTGTGCATCTATATATGCATATAATTGTTTAAGTAGTAAAGAGATTATGACCAATGAAAAGCTGAAGAGTTGTTTATCAATGATTTGTGGTTTAACCAATAAAAATCAAAATAGTTCCTTAAAATTTCTTGTTAACCTAAATCGTTTAAAAAAAACTTGTGAAGATTCTTTATTTTTGTTTACTATTTTTGGTAAGTCTATAATACTTTGTTGCATTATTGTAAGTCATTTTAGATAAAATCGATTTATCAAAAGTGTTAGTCTATTAAAATCAAAAGTTTATAAACATTAAGTTTTTTTAAAGCTGTTTAAATTTTTCCTTCTCTAAATGATAGACTCTATTTTTTAGTATTTATTATGTTTGACAATAATTAACACGTTTTTAAGAAAAATTTAAAATAATTAATATTTTTTTAGAAAATATAACAAGTATAAATATCAGTTTTGATAACACTTGAATTCACATGTGTCAGCTATTACACATCTTATTCAGTAGGAGATATAATTATCTGAACAAATTAAAAAAAAAAAAAAAATAAACAAGTAAACTTTGACAAGTAATTTCAGAAAAAATATGATTTATATAAAAAAATTTATGATTGTTTTAAATGCAATCAAGAATTCATTTAATCAAGAATCATAACTTAAAAGTTAAAATAATTAGATTTATGTGGTAAAAGCTTAACGATGCATTCAAATTTGCATTTTTTAACTTTAAATGAGGGTCCAAACCAAATTTTAATTATTAAACATTTCTACAAGTAATTAAATTTTTTGACTTTTTAATATCTATTTAGACCATCTTAAGCGTTTAAGACTTCTGCATGTCAATTTTGCATTGGTTTAACTAATTTCTTTGTTGTATCTGGATTGATTCAAGACAAGCTTCTAGGAGCATGATCAATTGCTCTTTGTTTTGTTTTGAAATAGCCACTTTTTTGATCTAGAATTGCCCATTGGTGTTCAATTGCAATAAAATCTGGACTTTGAGCCGGCTATTCTAAGATAAAAAACACTTCAACCTTCTTTGACGTATGCTTAGTGTTGCTGTCTTGTCTATGCAAAAACAAACATTTTTTTACTTTTTTATCAGACTGATGGTTCCTTATGCTGTTTCAGTTGCTTTTTTCATCAACCTTAATGTTTTACCTTGTCATTTCAAACAGTGATTAAATTTGCTGTCAGAACATAACATTATCAAAATCTTTTTTTCATCTTTTGAGAAATTAAAGTTTATTTTCGGAATAAAATTTTTTGTTTGGGAATTTGTTTCTTTTAGATATTGAGTCAAGTAAAACTGACACTTTTTATATCTTGAATTAAAAAAGATTGGAACAAGCTACAAAGTTGATTTTTTTTTTTTTTTTTTTTTTGTTGAATGCAATGAATTAGCATTAAGTCTAGAACAAAAAGACATAAAGAGAAAAAAAACTTTTCAGTACAATAAATTTTTCAAATTTTTCTTTTAATGGGAGTCATATGATTTTGCACTATGTGAAATCCATACTTTGTGATCAGTACTTTTTTTTTTTTTTTTTTTATTTGCATTCACTCCCAACAAGTCTGCAAGCAACCACTATTAAGTTGGGAGTTACTAGGAAAAAAAAAAGAACAGAGTTATAGAGCAAGGAAACGGTTGACAGAAGACTTGAAAAGTTGAAGGTTGTATGAGTCAGGAAAACATGAAGATGGGAGAGAGTTCCAAAGGATTGAAGTGCAGGGAAAAAAACTAGATGAATAAAAGTTTTTAGAGCATGCAGGGACAGATACAGTAAACAAATGAGACTTAGCTGAATGACGAGTAAAACGAGAATGAATTTTAGTTGATGGAACTAGAGATGATAACTCCTTTGAGCAGTGACCATGATAGTATCTAAAGAAAAGAGAAAGAGATGCAACTTTACGACGATGGGAAAGAGGTTCAAGCTTAGCAGATAGTCTAGGTCCAATAACATTTACAATGCGTTTTTGGACCTTGTCAAGAAGAGAAAGTGAATCGTTAGAAGAACCAGCCCAAATATGACAACAGTATTCCATACAGGGACGAATAAGAGATTTGTAGAGGTAGAGAATGGAATCAGAAGTAAGGGAATGGCGAGCACGATAAAGAGAAGCAACCTTAGCAGAAGCTAATTTAGCAATCGATTGTATATATGGTTTCCATGAAAGGTCAGTAGTAAGCAATAATCCAAGAAGACGTAAAGAGGACGACTCAGTAAGAGGATTGCCATTCATTAATATAGGAATGTTGACCATATTACGGTAGTTGTTTGCAGTAAGCAATTGGGTTTTTTTAGAGTTGAAATTCACAAGCCACTGTGAACCCCAATCTATTACTGAACAGAGATCAGATTCAAGATCAGCTGCTTGTTCTAGGCGATCGAAAAGAGAAGACTTTTTGTCAAGACAGGAGTATAAAGTTGAGTCATCGGCAAAAAGAGCTACTTTAGATGAAAGGAAGATCGTTTATGTAGATAAGAAACAAAACAGGGCCCAGGATGGAACCTTGGGGAACCCCAGAAGTTACTGGAAATAAAGAAGAGTTTTGGCCTTCAAGGATGACTTTAATAAACCGGTCAGAAAGAAATGATTTGATAATCTCAAAAACTTTCCCAGAAATACCATATGAAGCAAGCTTATGGAGAAGACCAGCATGCCAAACTTTGTCGAAAGCTTTAGATATGTTGAGAGCAATAGCCCTAGCCCTAGCCTCACTGCCTCCATCTAAATTTAATTTCGTTCACTTTTTACATAATTGGGCTTTAATCACCTAATATTATTTAAAAACATATTCAATTTTTGCTAATTTTTTATGGTTGACATTCTACTTCTATTTTAAAAATTTAAAGATATAAAAAATAATAATCTTTGCAAAAGTTTCTTTGCGTATAAAGTTACGCAACTTTTCTTTCATATTTATGCTATTCAAATTTTGATTGGGTAAATTTGATTTTTAATCGTTGCGTTTTAGAAAAAAAGTTTTATCTGAAGTCTTTTTCTAAAAAAAACGTTTTAAATAAGTAAAACTTCAAAAAAAGAGTTTTATCTGAAGTCTTTTTTTAAACAAAACGTTTTAAGTAATCAAAAAGACAGATTGCTTCAAAATATCTTAATTTCCTTTTTTTTTTATTTATTTTCAATCGCTACTCAAGTTATCAAGAAGGCTATTCAAGATTTCATTTTTTTTCTCGTTTTTCTTTAATGAAGTCAAGAATAAATCTTCTTTTAAACTGCCAGTCAGTAGAAGTTCAGTAAAATTCTAAAGGTTTAACAACTTTAAAGATAAACAAGCTAAAGAAATACTGCTACCTAAAAGGCTTTATAAAAAACAAACTGGGTGATCAAATTTTGAAATTTTTTGCTTTACTCTAAAACGTAGGGAATAGCTTGTTAAAAAAAATTCTAGAAGCAGTTAATAAGTATACCTCAAAGTGGTTGAATGATTGTATCATTCTTGCTAGAGTAGTTTGGCAAAAGTTAGCCTCAGGACTTCAAAAAAAAAGAAAAGTATTATGTGTTTGGATGATAATGGAATATGCTTAGTATTAACTTTCTGATTAAGTCGTTGCAGTTGGAAAGCTTTCGAAAAAATCCATTTAATTTCAACAGTAGATATAATTAATTATTTAAACCATATAAAAAATGAAGGTTTACGTAGTTTAAAAATATTTTGGAAAATTATTGTCCAATTATTTGTCCAAAAAGTTGAAACAATGGAATATAGTTGAAACCAGCTACAAAAACAAATGGATAACAATGGAAGAATAGCAAACGTTACATCAGGTGTGCAAGATGAGTTCTGTTTTAGTTTAATTAAAGTTACAAGGCAGCTCATTTAGCTGTAAACTAGACATTATTGAAGTAGATAAAGATAAGTTATAATGAAAAAACAGTTCGAAAAATGAGGTTCTTTATTTTAGGGATACAATGTAGGTCATTGTCGCGGAGATCTATTCTGTTTAAATACATGATTGTTGATATAAAAATACAAACATCCATCGTATGTCTACCAAAGAACACGCTCATAACTTAGATGTTCTACATGGAAAGTTCCTGCAGCAATCTCTATCACATATGATGACTTTTATAGTTATTTTCCATTTTCAATAGTATATAACGAACTGTATGAATTATTTTCATATATAATGCCTAATTTTTTTTTTAATTATAAATCATTGTTACTTATAAATCGTATTATTGTATTATTGTATTATCAAACAGAAAAAGATTTTTACTTTTCTTATATTTAATGATAATAATAGTTTCATTTATTTTTAAAAATGCCTTTTTTTGTCAAAAAATGAACTTTTAATAAAATTGAAGTAGAAGGCTAAATAATTAAAATGAAAAAAAATGATAATTATTTTTTAGAATCAGCATGAAAAATTAATTAAGAAAAATTGGTTAAACTATAAAAAATCTGAAAAAAGATGATTATGAACCCCCACCCCCCTACTATTAATACTGGCGTTTCGATGAGGATCAGCATTTATAACTAGTTTATCCCGTCAGACAAACGTCATCACCACTTATGCTTTACCCCGCAACTTACACCTATTCCATACTGCAGTAAAAAAGGACTCACTACAAATCAATGATATATATTAACTAGATGTCTAACTTCCGAAAAAAAGTGAAGCACATTTTGTTTGCCAACCAGCATATGATTGGTTAATAACTTGTTTTGCCAACCAGCATTTGATTGGTTAACAAATATTATGGAAAGACAAAAAGCAAAAATAAAATCAAAACAAAAAATATTTGTGTCAGTTAAATCAGAAAATGGGTTTAAAAGTTAGTCAGGTTGGAATGATATTGTGAGATGCTTTAGTATTGGATAATTTTATAAATGTAGGTTAAAAGTAACGTCAGTTACTTTTAACTTGCTATTATAAAAAATAACTACTAAGCTGGTAATTTTAGTTTAAAGTAAAAAGACTTTGAACCTTCGGAAAATAATTTAAGTATATATATTTTAAATATTTACATTTTTAAACTGAGACATTTATTTAGACTCGCTCCAGATTATATCATATATAATATAATGTATATACATATATATATATATATATATATATATATATATATATATATATATATATATATATATATATATATATATATATATATATATATATATATTCAAATGATATTATATATGATAAAGTCTGGGATAATGTGTGTGAGTGTG